ATCTCTCCATAAAAAAATTTCATAGTTTTATATTAATTAAAGATAAAATGAATTTAAAATATATAAATAAGTGTGAATATTATTTTATAAAATTGAATTAAACTTAAAACTTAATTTTTAATTAAAAAATATAATTGATAGGCTTTTTATCCATAAATTAATTATTTTTTTCATAAATATTTACTGGAGAACGAAATTCAACTTTAAAATAAATTTAATTTAAATTGAGCTTATATATTTTTAAAGCTGATATATGACCTATACGATAGAGTTTAGTATTTATATACCGGCAAAATGTAAAAAAACAATACTCACATTTAAAAAAACTCATCATATATAATTTTTTTAAAATAAAACTACTGTAAAACTCGTCATATCATATATATCATTCATTTTGTAATTAAATGATAGAGTAAAATTCCCTTTATATGTAATATTTACCGTAACATTTTTAAATCTATTGGTTTTTGTCTAATTAAGAATTTATTCTTAGACCTCATTTTTGCGTATATATACATTTCGTGATCCACAAAGAATAAGTTTTGTGGAAAACATAGGGAAACCATTTATTCATTAAATCTCATTTTCTCAAAATGAAAAAGAAAAGTATTTAAATTGGTTTAGATGATATTAAATTGGACCATACTTGTTTTAGATCGAAACTGTTTTTCCTCCAAAGACTGTAAAATTTGCCCACTTTTTTAGTATACTTTATGTGGGTTGCCTACAATAAGCTTTAACCTAACTCCCCTGTAAAAATGGTGTTGAAGAGATTAATGATTGAGAAGATTTTACAAGGTAGAGAAATTCTGGAACACATAATAGACCGAATTAAAAAGAACAAATGTGATTATGCAAAATTATATATTAATATGTGAAAAGGCAGAAAAAAAGAAGAGGTTTGAATAAAGGTTATTTTTGAAGAGGTGATGTTTGAATGAAGGGAACACCGAAAAGAGGTTAAGTCATGTGCTGGTATCATGTGCGTTCTTTTCTTCCCAGATAAGCATGGATAATATATCCATAATGTGTTGTATGAAAATATCACAAAAACTCTTACCAGATTTTTTATTCAAATCGTACCATATTTTTTATTTCACAATAAAAAATGTGAAGAAAAAACAAGTTGATGAAAAGGTGAAAAGAATAATAGTGTTAAGAGGTAAAAAGAGGGATGTGTGTTGTTTTTTGCGAGACATGGGGAATCGAATTTCATTGGCAGTTAGAAAGGGAAAAAAGTGATGGGTTTTATTGAGATCTGAGTTTGCAGGGAACAATATTCCTTTACAACAACACATGCTCAGTTGTTTTCATGTCGCTATATGCAAAGGGACCTATCAATTGTTCTCTAACTTACTATTCAAAAAAGTAACACAGAATCCCTTTAGTCATATTAATCTATGTTTATGTTCTATCATTAAGGACATATAGTGGATTTAAGTTTGATTAAGACGTTATTATTAGCATTAAAGACAATAGAATGCATCGTGTTAGGTAGAGATTTGCCTCGTGGAATTCAAAAGAGTTGTTGTTGTAAGAAAGATCAGAGTTTTTGTACCATAAACATGAAATTAGTGATTACTGAGAGGGAAAGGAAAAGTAAGCAGAGGAAAAGCCTTATGGAGTTGCTCACATGAAAAAAAGCCTTTCAAAATACTATGGAAAAAGTATGGGCTTTGTGGTTCCACGAACTCATTGGGGGCTTTATTCCTGCACCTCCAATTTTGTTTCCGGTACCCCCAGATTTTACCGTAATATCAATTATGTTTCTTCCAAATATATATATAAAATATTAAATTAATTAGATAAGTAATAGTTATTGTTTGTCAAACATATTTAACAAAGAATGTGCTGTATTTATAGATCTTTGACATTCCCAAATCATTTTCAGAAGCAACTTTAACACATTTTTTTTTCAACTTCGACTTTCTTCTTCTTTTAATGACGTTTTCATGCGTTTCTTTTTTCATTTTCATTATGTATTCACTTCGTTATTTTTCATTTACACGTGTTGTTTTCTAAATGTTAGATTTAGTATTTATTAATTATTATGTTTTGCATGAAATTCAATTTCAAAATTATTCACTAAATTTTGAAAGTCATAGAGTTAAAAGTTTCATCAACAACGAATTTCAAATAGAGTAAAAAGTTTCACCAACAACGAATTTCAAAATTCAGTTAAGGAAAGTACAAAATTTTGAAATTTGATTTAGAAAAGTATCAAATTTTAAAATCTGATTAAGTAACTCATCATATTTAGGAATGCACCAAATTTCAAAATCTGGTATAGAAATTTACTAAATTTGGAAATCTGGTTAGGAAATCGACGAATTTCAAAATTTGATTTAGGAACTCATCGAATTTCAAACTCCACTTAAAGATAGTATCAGATTTTGAAATTCAGTTAATGATACTATTGGATTCCGATTAAGTATTCTTTCAAATTTTGAAATCTAATATTGTTTTTTTTTTTAAATTATATAGCTTGTTTTGTTTATTGTTTTTATTTTTATTTTTAAATTTATTTTGTTTGTTTTTGTTTTATGAAATTGTTGATCTCTAGTTATTATTATTGAACAAGTGAGGTATTTTACGTTGATATCATGTTGTAGGTGTGTAGAGTCTTTGTATCTAAGATGGAAGATTGTCTTTTAAGTTTTACCTTTATTTTATATTTCTTTTCTTTAATAAATGAAATGTGCGAGGGAGATTGAACAAATAACTTTACGGCTGATCAAATTTTTCTCACACTTGACGAGTTAGTTAAGTGGGTTCAAGGGTTACTTTTGATCTTGGTTTTGTTGTTGTCATTATATTATCAAATAAAGCTAATGGTCAACCTAAGTGTAAGATATATGTATTGTTAGGATGAGAAAGGGGTGAAAAGTATAAGAAACACAAATATGATGTTCGACCTAATATATATTGCACAAAAAATGCGATTGTCCTTTTAAATTGAGATGCAATCAAATTTCTAATTAAGAGAAGTGGGTGTTGAAGGTAATGTGTGAATATCATAACCATTTGTCACATACTTTAGTTGGTCACCCTTTTTGTTTGGAGGTTAAAATCCACTTAACAGTCATTGCTTGTTTGATATGGCCAAAAGTCAAATGAAGCCTGCAAACATTCTCCTTACTCTCAAAGAAAATAATGTAAGATACACTTACAAACGATTATTATGAGGTTCAAGAACTGACTTACAATAGGTGATGATGATGTTAGAACATGATAAATACATCCACTAGAGTATATGTGTAGACAAATATGAGGTGATAAGTGATTTCTTTTGGACATATTCCGATGCAGTAAAATTTTTGAATGCATTTAATATTATTTTCTTGATGGATAACATCCACAAAACCAATAAATATCGATTGTCGTTACTTGAGACAGTTGGGGTCACATCAACAAAGTTGACTTTCTCAACTGCTTTTGTATTCATATAAAGTGAATGACCAAATAATTTCACTTGGGATCTGGAAAGACTAAGATGATTATTTATGACATCTTAGGGTGGTCCACAAGTCATTGTTAGCGACATAGACCTAACTTTAATGAATGTCATTGGTTTTGTATTTCCTGAACGGTATCATCTCGTATGTCGTTTTGACATTTAGAAAAATGTGCAAACCAAGCACAAAATGTAAGTTAATTCGATTGAGGCATGAGATGTTATCATGGAAGTGTGGGAAAATGTAATGGATTGTGAACATGAGTAAACCTTTAGTGATTGTGTTGATCGTTTTCTTCATGTTTGTAATTCATGGCCTTTATTCTTTTAATACGTCAATGACTCTTGGCTCTTCCATATAAGAAATAGTTTGTAAAGGCATGGACAAACTGTGCAATGCATTTAGGAAACATAACATCAAACAAATATATTTGCATCTTATTTTATTTAGTTATTTTGGTTAGATGTTTTATAACATTGTTCATGTTATTTGTATCAGGGTTGAGTCTGCTCATTGGAACCTAAAGAAAGTATTGAGAAGCAGTAAGGGAGACCTCTACTCGACTTGGGATGCAATTTATAACGTCATCATCCTACTACATAAAGAAATAAATGCCTCATTTGAAATAAAAAGTTCAAATCTTATGAATGACGCTTTTAAGCCAAGAAAGTATAAAAAATTGATTAGATATGTATCAAAATATGCTTTGGAACTTATTGCTAAGGAGTTCAATCGAGTTCAACATATAGATTTGATAGTGAAAGTTGTGGTTGCATTTTGAGGTCTACCATGTGTTTATGAATCAGCTAGATATGACCCTGGAGTGATTCCTGTGTTTGAAATTTATATCATGTGGACTATATTGAGCTTTTCAAATATTTCATCAAATGAATTGCATGTAGAGTTATGCATTCAAAAGGAATTTGATTTTGTACTCAATTTTTTCAAAGAATTTGACATTGCACAAAGTGATAATCAATCAAAAGTTACTTGAAATTATTTGTCTTGCTATGACATCAATAATACCTCCAATGCATAAAGTTAAAATAAAGGATACAAAAAAAAATGTAAAGTTCATGGACCTTAAAGGTTTACAAACTATGAACCATGATTTATATATAAATAATTCATTAATGTCAAATATAAATATATATTTTAGAAATTTGGTTCAATAAAATTGAGTTAAGAATGTAATATTATATATAAAAATATTCAGACTTATTTTTATTTAATATAAGATTACAATAAATTGTAAACATACAAAAAATAACATATATTTCTGTGTATCATAATTAAATATTAACCCATTTTAATGTGATCAATGTTTTCCTTTTAAGAAAAACCAATTATAGTTACCAATTTAACTTAAAAATAAAAAAATTATCAATTTTGAGCTTTTAATTCTTTTATTCGTTGCTCATAATAAACCATACACAATGCTTCTCCCAACCTCATTTTATTTATAATTACACAATTTATAAATTAATTAAATCGGTAATTGTTATTATATAGAAATTATATAAAAAATAACACGTTCATCACACTACTAATTAAACATACTAGTTACAGATAAGGTTTTAACGAGCTTAAGAGAATATTTTTTGCTATTATACATTTCTGCACAAACTATTTGTCATTTACCCAAGTGAGCAAATGACTAACAGAAAACAAAAATACTTACACAAAAATAGGCATTGTTACAACATGTAACCTAAAAACATCTTACTGCTAAGTCCAAATGTTTGACTAAATCTTGCATTAAGTGTTCTCCTGAAAAATTGGAAACTATCCCTACTTGCTATAACACACTAGCAATGGCATCTTAAAAGCTTTGATTTGTACACAAGGATCACAAGCATATCCCAAATCACTTCTTCTGAGTGATCACTAAACAAAAGAAAGCCACAACTCGAGCAATTATACCATACAAAACGAGGGCAAGCATACAAATAGGCCAGTCTCCGACATTATAGCCATTATTCATTAGCGAACTACACCGAGTAATCAACCAAACTCCAGTGTACCTAAGAAAAATAAAAAACCACAAGAGTTACATGGTGAAAATAGAAGGTTGTTGAAATTAAGGAATCTTCATTAGTTAAGGAGCAAATAAGGAAAGAGAATATTAACTCACTAATTGAAACCGACCTTTCAGCATTTGCAATGATAAATGCCTCTAAAGCCCAATTTGGGTAGCACAACTTTACAAGGATCTTCATAAAGAGAGTGTCTTTCTTCTGGTTTGCAATGAGAGTCATAACAACTGGGAGAAGCACTGACCACTAAAAGTGATAAGAAAACAAAAAAGGGTCATATTACATTATATCAACAATTTGAAAATGTGTATATGTTTATGATCCGTACCAATTGTGCTGGAGCAGGCTCAAAATAAATTGCCATTATATATGCCATGCCAGTTACACAGTACACAAGGCAGAGCAAAATGACATAATTACTTGCGAAACTTGACCTTGGATTGCTAAAAAAATAGAACATGGACAGATAAACTACAGGTTTTATGACTGTATTGAAAATATCAATTGAATCTTTGGCCAAAAAATGTGCCAGATTGCTGATTCCAGATGCACTCTCCCTCCAATATTGTAATTTATCCAGAGAAAATGATCTCAGAGCTGAAATCTTGCAAAGTAAAGCTGCAAGTGTTCAAAATGAATGAGGAAAGAGACAAATCGTAAGGAGCAAGAACTAAAGTTTGATACAGCTAGAGCCATTCAAAATTTTTACAGGAATCTAAATTAGAAATTCAATTAACCAACAAAGAAAAAGTAGAATCAAATTTGGTATGGAGTTTTGAAACTTACAAACAGCAATAACGGTATAGGTATATCCGAGGGACCCAAAGGTTTCGTCATTTACTTTAGTAAGAGTTCCTAATATAGCACCAGCAACCAATAAAAGAAGATAGTCAACTGCTTGTGATTTTCCTTCTCTTAGCGTCTGCTTACAAACCCTGAACACAATGAAAATGGTTAATAATTAACTAACGTAATCCACAAAGTATATAATTCATTGTACGACAAAAACCAGAAACAACTCAATTTGTTCAAATATTCACTATGAATTTAAACTTAAGCAAACAGATTAACTAAGATTTCAAGTTTCATGCTAAAAACTCTACTTCATATCATATGTATGTTAAGATACATAGATAGTTACTTGACTCTAACTTCACTTTACTTCTTATTATTAAGTAGACTTTAAGCCTAACTCAATCTTATAAAATTAACGTATAAGATGAGGTTTCCACCCACTTATATATTGTACACTCGTCTTATCCCTAGTTGATGTGAAATCTCCAACACTTACACTAGACAAAGATGACAAACTTGATTAAAAGAAGCTAGAAATCCATTCGTGTTAGTTAGTTAACTTTAAGGGCAATTGTATCTATAGTAAACCTTGAGGTTTCATAATTCATACCGTCCAAGGTAGTATCTGTATTGTCGAGCTACACCAGGAGTTCTTCGATTAGACAAGTCCTTAGTCTTTAAGAAGGTTGCTTCTATATGATCTTTTCGCATCTGAACATTACTCTTCATATCCTCCCAAAACTCTCCAGCAAAGGATTGATCATCAACTTCCTCTAGGGGCTTTGTTGGATTTGCCTCAGTGCTATTTGTTGAGGCTGCAGCAATTTCATCAGCAAAATGAAGCATATCTGGTGGTACTGGGTAACTGTTATGTAACATCCATCTGACAGGAAGCTGCTCATGAGTCACAGCTCCATTTGGTTTCACTAAACCTTCCAAAATGTCAATGAAATGGTCGGGAGGATTCACTCTATCAGGTACATTGATTCCAATGCCAGCAAAGTATTCTTCTACTTTCTTAACAGGACCATGATATGCAGTAAGACCACCTTTGGCTAGAAACACTATATCATCAAACATTCTGAACAAAGTATAGCTGTATCACAACAAAACCAGAGTCAGACGTCTACTATATATTGTAAGGTGTATGTGTACTTCATCAAAAAGAGAATAGGATAGGAAGATCTTACCTTGGTTGATGAAGTACCATGCAGATATTTACCCCTTCTAGTGCTTCACGACGAAGTGCTTTAAGCAATAAAGTGGAAGATGCACTGTCTAAACCAGTTGTAGGTTCATCTAAGATTAATAATGATGGCTCCATAACCATTTCCATCCCTACATTTACACGTTTCCGTTGTCCCCCAGATATACCTCGTTTTTCTACTGTCCCAACAAGGGAATCCCTCACTGCCTGGAGTCCTAAGGACTCAATCACTCTTTCAACAATCAGAACCTTGTCTGGTTTTGGCATATCCGCGGATAGTCTTCAGTAATAAGAAACAACCATGTAAATGAAATTAACAATGAAAAGAAGGCAAAAAGATATGCAAATTCATGAGAAAGTTAATGCAATCATTTTGAATGAGACAGTTAGTGCATGTGTTCACAATAAAAACAGGAAGAGCAGGAAAAAGGGAGCACATCATATTAATAATATGTGAAGTGTTTCAATATTAATAAATTGATCACACAACAATTATTTAAAAATAACCTAAAATATTATGAAGAAAATAGTCAAAAACATGGCATACTAGTCAAAAGATTGATAAGCATGAGATTAGGAATGAATCATATATAACTGCTAAAAACATTCAAAATAAAGTGTGCTAAATTAGTTAACCTTTGAATGATGTACAGTGAATTGGAGGTAATGTAACAAAGTTAACATTTATAGCATTTATAAAAGAGCCACAAAGTAAGTTCTCCAAGGTAAATCAGAAACCTGCATCTTGCACTGAAACGAAGATTTTCTTCCACGGTCAAGTTCCCATGCACAATATCATCTTGTGGAACAAAACCAATAATTTTCCGATAACAGTGAATGGATTCGGCCTTTCCATTAATTAGAATTGATCCTGTCATAGTGCATCCTCTTGCCTTCCCTGCCAATGCAGAAAGAAATGTAGTTTTGCCAGCTCCTGAGGGACCCATCACAGCAGAAACTCTACCCGGCATGAGTTTACCATACACACATCTCAGTAGATGTTTTCTTTTACCTTTCAAAGTGAGAGTTAAGTCCTTAAAAGCTACCTCAATCACAGGCCTTGTTCGAACCTCACCTTCTGTGGCCATCGAAATAACTCCGGAGAAAGTCAAGTTCTTGTTTTTCTCTTGTTGAGCTTTCTCCTTCTCAATTTGACCATAAGCATACCTTAAAATTTGGCTTTGTGTGTGTAAATTCTTGCCCTTTGGCATCTGCTTTTTGATGTTTTTATCTCCAATTTGTAGGTTGAATCCTTCATTGCTATGTGGGTCATCCTCAAGGGAATTCAACATTTTAGTAAGGTTGGTAGGTTCCTTTTTTTGCACGTCTGAAGCTGCAGACTGTTGCTCATAGCTTGAAGAATTTTGTACCGATGGCAAAAACGTATCTCCCATACCACGTTTAGCTTGGTTACCAACCTTTACGGTATCTGATTTCGCTGATTTTTTCCGAGAAAAGGTTCGAGATAATTGCTCACCTAATCCTCCCCCTTTACCTTTCTTAGCAATATCTTTTGCTATTTTCCATCGTTCCCTAGCCTGCACAGTTTCCCTTACCTGTCTAGCAGCAGCTTCTCTTGATTTCGCCTTTCTCCTTTCTCGAGTAACTAGAACTTGATCAGAACAATTATAAATGAAGATCAGGAGAGTGCTCAATGCAACCTGCAAGGGGGAATGATATCAAATATGATAAACTGTACACAGGGAGAAGACATTCTTGAAAATATTTGACAATATCTCATGTTATTTCAGAGCATATGCAAAAGTATGAACCAAGTAAACTTTGGGACATTCTTGTGCTGATACCATGTTGCATTTCTTCATTGTGCAACAAGACAACCATAAGCTCCAATAATGTGCATGTAAAATAAAACACAAATGCTATGATCTTCAAGAATAATAACTCAAAACCCAAACCATATCAAAACCCTGATAGAAGCATGACAAGAAAGTTGAATAGCATACTAAATTCTACTTACAATAAGTAAAGCGCCATAAGCATGCATATTTTGGTTTGCTGTGTTTGGATTGCAGGAACTCAAGCTGGAGCATTCTGCAGAAATGAACAATATTGACAAAGGTTTTGAATTAGTGCCCTCAAATCTCAAACATGATAGATCAAGAAAATAAGACAGTTAAATTCAATTATTGACAGATAATTTCCATGATCTAGCCCATTTATGATATCAACTTTGTTATAAGGCTTTCTATTATTACAGTCTCCTTTATGGACTCCTATTTAATGACATAGCGATGTAATAAATGGACCAAATAAACTATACTTATGATATATACAACAACAAAAACTCACTATTTTGATGAGTAGAACCCCTCCTGCAATAATATCTGAAATTAGGAAAAGATAACCAATTAGCATGAATGCTCGAAAGTGAGTAGTACTAGGTTGGTTGCAATGTGCATGAAGACTAAAAGCACGTAATAATGGAGTTTTATTTAGATTGAATAACAAAAAGGGGAATTTTGATAAATTAAAATGGGCAAAATAAGGCATGGGATAAATCAATACCCACTATCACAAGAGACTTTACGTGTTGTAGTGGGGCAGTATGATCCTGGAGAACAAAAGATATCACTATTGTTCACCACGCCCGTCCATATGTCAGCACTGCCACAACTATGATTTGTTTCTCCCTGAGGTATTTGGTAACTATATCTGAAAATTCATTTTCAGTGTTGAAGTTCGAAAACATCACTTTGAGTAAAAGAAAACTTAGAAAACAATCGAGAAGTAGAACTTACGGGTCACATACTCCAGTCGCATTATTCAGTTTTGCAAGTGGACAATAAGAACCTAGTGGGCAAGCTTCATACAGAGGAAAATCAGAAAGTTAAGAAAAAAAAAAAAACCGTGCCGACTGATTTTATTCATAAAAGATAATCCAAATTTTAAACAAACCGAAGCTGCTTTCTTCGTGATATAAAAAGTTAGCACTAACAAAATCAAACTCTAAGAAAAGAAGATAAAGGCTTATGTATGCATTATACACTACTATTTTTAGTTTAGCTAGAAAAAGAAAAACTATTTACACATTAAATCATTTAGCGGTATATTGGATGGTAAATTAATAAAGCCAGGTTTAATATTGTAATTTTGAAGAGATTCAATAGCTCTAACCTACAACAAGAAGATTTGTGATGATAAAATTTGCCATGTAGGTTATTCTAGAATGATGTTAACATTAGTAATCTTTTTAAGAAACTCTAACTTGAAGACATTGTTCCTAGTACTTTAGGAGAATTTTTCTCTTTGACTTCGGCATATTCAGAACAGGTCCTTTTCTACAAGCTTGGGTATATATACTAGTTAGATTAATCTCATTTTCAATAAATTCTTTTTGATTCTGGGTATATATTATGCATTGGAGCTGTGAAGGCCAAAATAACAAATACACCAATAATGGGGGAGATGCATATGCAGGAAAGAGTATTTGATGGATGTTTCAACAACAAAACATGTTTGTCTCAACAATGAACAGAATTTCATCCTACATTGGCAAGTAATGGTAAAAATTAAAGAGGTATGACATACTTACGTATCATGCAAGTCAATCCTTGAGGGCAGAAAAACCCCTCACAACAAGCCTGACAGTTGCTGGTTCTAAAGGGAATGTCCTTTATGTCTTTTTTGAGGTCAAAATTTTTGCCAGCACTACAACTCCATCCAGGTTCACAACCAGAAACCCACGAAGTCAAGTTGCAATTCCTGTTAGGTTTTACATAGTTGCTAGATGTTGCCCCTTGTTCCAGGAAACCATGGAAGTAATACCTTATTTCAGCCACAGTACATATTCTATCTCTGAAATCCCCTGTCAATCAAACCACATTACCCACTTGCATGAAATAAATGACATGAAAACAGCAAACTAAATTTCATCATACACTACAATGCGAAAACGAAAGCTGATACCTTTTTTCTTAACACAAGAATCTACGAAATCCAACCTTCCTTTAAAATCAAATGCTTCCTCCCAATCTTTGTGCCTGAAATGCCAACAGTTCTGTCAGCAAGGAATCAGAAAAGCTTCAACGCAATGGAATGAATGCATGCGTGCATGCATGGTTGGTTAGTAGAAGGAGTATAAGAGGAAGCAATGATATATAGAAAAGGAGTGACTCACACATCCTTGACGCAGAAACCTAAACCTGCTTTGATATCCTTGTTTAAAAGAATGGCGAGGTTTTCAAGCTCCTTGTATATCTCTTCGGTGTAAAAGGATGGGGCGAAAGTGTTATCGGCGCATTGAATCGTGGGGAAGAAAGGGATGAAGAGGAAAAGGAAAGAGAGGGAAGAAGCATGGTTCCTCATTGGCGTAGTGTGGAGGAGGATGAAGGAAGCAGGAGGCTATGGAGAAAAGCATAGCATTGCATGGATGAGAGGAAGAAAGGAAAGGAGGAGTCAAAGGCTTGCTCATTGGTAATGGTTTTGCTTTGGATTCAAGAAATGGCCCGGAGAAATGGGTGGCTAGATTCAAGCATCTACATTCTTTCCATATTCTCTCTCTTTCTCTTCATCCTTTGCTTTTCGCTAAAACACTTTCCATGCTCTTTCTTTATTTTTTTGACTCCATTTTAGTATTCATTTCTTCAATATTATCTTAAAATAATAGTATATTTTAGTCAAGCATTCTAGCAGTAATATAAACGTGGGTGATAAAAAGAAAAAAAGAACGTGACTCACTTCTAAATTTAGTTATTTTTTATTGAAATTTACATAATACAAAAATATAAATAATTAATTATGACTATTACTTAAGCTTATTATCTCGAAGTTAAATTTTGACTTTGAAAGAAATAGATATAATTTTTCATGGTTTAATTTATAATGTTATTGTGGAAAACAAGAAAAACTATTCATTATCTTATAACTACATTGGTGGATGATGTAATGATCATAATTATATAACGGATAAAATTAATTAAAATTGTGAAATAACTACATCATATTTTACTAAAAGAAATTGAATTATTTAATAAAAACTTAATTGAATCATTTAATAGTTTAATTTTAAAAATTTATCTCTAAAATTACTTTAGTTAACTAATAAGTCTCTTGTTCATTACTTTCTCTCATTTCCGTCCAAACCTTGCCTTCGCATTGTCGTCGCGAGCACACTTCTAACAGCAACTACCGCCAAACCCATGTCAAATTGGGTCGGGAGTCTTCGCACGTCTTTCACCTCTACCCAGGGCCATCGTTGCCGTCTCCGGTTCGTGATCGTCGTTGGCCGTTCATCACCGCTAGTTGTTTGACTGAATTTGAATTTCATCGTCGTGCTGCGACGTTGAACCCTTGGCCACCGTGCAATTTCTGACGAGGGTTCACTCTTCGCCTGTTAGTAATTTTAAAACCCATTACACAGCTTTAATATTGAGGTTGAGTCAATGTGATTTAATTTTATATTGTTCTCTTATATGGCTTTGAATGGGTGGGTTCTTGTTTTATTTGATTTTGAGACTGTATGTGCCTTTGTGCTTGTGATTAACGTAATGTCTTGTCTTAAAATGGAGAAGATGTCCATTGTTGTACATATGAGTTTGATTGCTGTACACATATTAAGTTGTTTGACTCTGAAGGATGATTTAAAAGAGATTAAAAATTCATTTTAAAAGTGTTACAGTATAATTTTAGATTTGCTAGATTTAAGACTTATTGAGAATTTCTTATAAAGGTATTATTTGCCTTCACCTTTTTAAGGTTAAATTTAATTTAGTTAATGTTTAGAGATAAGTTTAAATTACAAAATATATTTTTGTTTGGCTAGATATGCAAAATAAGAAATTATGTGTTGAAATGGTCAAAATAACGGTGATATGTTATTAGAATAGGATTGAATTTTGTTAATTACTTCATTGATTATATATTTTATTGACTATATATATTTGAATCTAGTATGAGTAATGAATTGAAATCAAAATTATTATTATCTTTAAAACCATTTTATTAATAATATCAAGGTCTTGAAGAATGTTCTTAAAGTATCCAACAAGAATCCCAAATAAGAATCTCAACTAGATGATGAAGATAATAATTCTTATGACATGAGTTTCTACTTAAGAATCATAGGTAATAAATTTGATTATATATCAGAACTTCAAAAATATTTAAGAAAGAATTTGAATCTTATACAAAGTCAGTTGAGTTAATGTTTTACATTGGTAGAAAGTCAATTTAATTGAATTTTCTATCCTTGCTAACATGGTTGGGAATGTGGTAGTCATTCTCATATCTAAAGTATGACTAGAGTGTGCATTCAAAACAAAAGGAGGGGTAGTTAGTCTTTATCAAAGTTGCTTAATGTCTAAAATAGTGGAAGTGATTGTTTGCACACAAGATTGGTTGAAATGAACACATTTCCCTATACTTTTTTATGAAAACCCTAAAGAGCTCGATAAATTTGAGTAAGGTGAGTTTATATGAAAAAATTATATATTTTTTAGTTTATATTTTAAGTTTTCAAAAATGATGAAATATATTTTAGGTTAAACTTCTTCGGAAGTCCCTATTTATGTGCGTTTTTCCCAGTTAAATCTCGTCTTATCAGTTTTGCCAATTTAGTCCTTTATAATAAAAAATTGACTCAATTGGGCCTCTGCCGTTAAATTGGCTTAACGGGGTAAGTTTTTTATGACTTGGAATGTTGACGTGGACAACTTTTTATACATGGCATAAGTAGGGTGTTCGTGGAATTTCCTAAGTTTGACGTGAAAAATGTTTGATTAAAAAATTTAGAAAAATGTCATCTTCCATTACAATGAAGCACCACTCAGAAATCTTCTTCCCTATCCATCACCCAACCCGTGAGAAGAAATCCAAAAATCAATTTCAAATTACATTTGAATAGGGTCTCACATAAACCTGCAGAGAAATCCCAAATTTCATAACCTAAAGAACCCTAGACGCGAAACCTAGACGCAAGCCATACTCTGCTGCCTCTTCTTCCAATCTCATACTCTGTATCTTCTTCAATACCCTAGACGAGGAGTCCCAACAACTTCCACATGCTCTGAATACTCCACAGATTGCAAAAACAAAATATGGCACACCTCTGCCTAAACTTTGATTATTATTTGAAATGTTCGGAAACAAAAAACAAAATTGAAATGATAAAAGGTTATCAAGATTGATTCACCTCGGCGGGAGAAAAAAAAACCTGTTCTACTTTTTCTTAGCTTCACTCGCCAAAATGCTCAAAGGCTAAATAATTAGCATAATCTTTGGAATTATTGAATCATTCTAACATTCCATATTTGCACAACGCAACGAAAATTTCACAAAAAACATCTAACATATCAAAATGACATCACAAAACTTGCACATAACCAAAACGACAAATCTTCGCAACAAAATCGTAACCTTTAACAGCGGTATCCTGTGCCTCGCAAGCAATGCGTCTGTCGCGAGTAGCAATTCTCGAGGCGGCGCGAGTCGAAAAAACGGTTCCAACGGTGGCTCGAAGCCGGAGGCCAGAGTAGCGCGACAGCGCAGCGGAGTTGCGGCAAGTGGTGACGAGAATCGGTGGAGAGGTGAGGGAAGGGAGTATGGAGGAGCGAGTGAGAGTTAGGGATTGGAGTTGCACGGTGGTCGTGATTGCGAGAATCGCAGGTCCAGAAGAAGAATTGTGGAATCAAAAGAGTGTTGCGTTGAACTGCCGGCGCCTGCTGTTAGATTAGTAAGGTTGAAGACGATGAACCTTGGGGTTGAATTCTTAGAATTTTTTTTAATTATATATTCCATGTATAAAGTTCTCTCAATGCCACATTTAAAAAACGGTCTACATCAACGTTCCATGTCATAAAAAAACTTAACTCTGTTAAGCCAATTTAACTGCAGGGGCCAATTATGTCAATTTTCACTTTTAAGGACTAAATTGGTGAAACCGATAAGAGGGGATCTAACTAAGAAAAACTCACATAAATAGGAACTTCCAAAGAGGTTTAACCTATATTTTACTTTTTTGTAGATATAATCTCTCAAGATAAAGTGGACTCTTCAAGTGTTATTAATTTGGATGATTGAAGATGTGTTGATAAGTTGTCTTTTAAAATAAAACTTATATTTGAATATTTATTGATTTTTATTTTATTTTGTCTATTTCTTGAGTAGAGACAATTTCTTTCTATTTATGTAATTATTATATTTTTCTTTTTTTAAGATTTTTTAAAAACAGTTTAATTTGTTAAAACAAAAAATAATTCAATTCATCAAATTAATTTTCAGTTTAAAAGGCAAAATTATTTTTTGGTTCACTATGGTTCTATCATTATATATAAACACGTTTGATATGTTGGAAATTTCATGAACTAAACGTATTCATCATAAAATTATGAATTATGTAATTTTTTTAAAACATTACTTTATTACTTATATATAGTTTTAATAAAATTATTCTGGATTCCATTTGAGTTTTTTTTTTTCATCCTACACATTATTGGTCACAAAAATAATCCAATCCTTATGATCAACAAATTCAACTAATAATCACATTTTGTTTTTCTAACTTGAAAAACTTTCTCCATAAAGCAAGGTAGTCATATTTCACCTTTCAAAAAAACAAATTTATCACATTCATCTAAAAGCAAAGCTTTAGGATCTTTGTTTTAAATAACTCTCATTGAAAAAAAAAGACTTTTTTAAACTAATATAGAATGAGTGGTGAATTGGTTTTAAAAAGTTTTTCTTTAAATAACACTTTTTTTAAAAAAAATTAGAAAATATTCAAATAAAAAATTAGAACGCAATTAATTGAGAAACTTATGGATACATGAATTGGAAAGCAATGCAAAGGGAAAAATAAAGAATGATGAAAATCATACAAGAATTTATATATGTTAGGATTCAACCAATTCTACATCCAAATATCAATTTTTCTTCATTAAAAAATTAGTTTCATTATCAATTAAATGTTTGTTCAGGACAAGACAATAATTTCAAACACTGAGACCAATAAGCTTAACGCATATCATAATCAAAAGGATATCAATATTTAACCAACTTTAGATGATAAAAACGATACATGCTTTATCCACTCTTGAAACACTTTAATCATAGCCTTATCCATCCTTTAATATATGTCTTATCAATTCTTATTGTAAACACACACAAAACATACACACACAAAACAAACACATGATTTGTTCATTTGAATGAATTTGGGGGAGAGTGATTGAGGGAATTTGAGAGAATTTGAATGTAAATTTTATTGTTGTTTATTTGAGTTAATTTGGAGATAAATGAGAGTAGATTTGGAAATAAATTTTTTTAATTTGTCACGTCAATCAAATCATATACTAATTCTCATAAACTTTACTTCGAAATTCACTCTCACTTACCTCCAAATCCCCTAAAATAAACAACAACAAAATTAATCTTCAAATCCTCTCAAATCTTTTCTCAATCACTCTCCCTCAAATTAATTCAAGTGAACAAGATCTAACAACCTTTTAATAGAACAACAACCAAAAACAAAATTGAAAACGGTCCACTAAAAACAAACTGAAAAGTGTTTACAACAACAAAAACAATTACAAAGACTTAAGAATTCAA